AAAAAAAAAAAGATGAGAATTTTAATCAGAAAACAGCAAACAAAACGGACCTTTCAAACTTCTGTTTCAGTTGTGGAAGATCGACGGCAAATGCATAGGGGTTATGGGAATTTGGGTAGGCAATGGATTGGGAGAGATGGAGAGAGAAGTGCCTCTGTTCCTAAAGAGATCGCTACGAATGGCGTTTGATTTATCAATTACCGGCCAAACTGAAACTGACAATAGGGTAAATTGCATTTACCGCCTGATCGTTCAACGCCAATGTACGAAAAAAGACCCCTTACTAGATTCCAACTTTAGCCACAACTCATAAAGCCTTCAAAATAAATTAATTTTATATTAGATTTCCACTTTAGCCACAACTCGTTAGAGCATGTTTATCTATGGAAATTTTCAAAAAATTCTAACATTTTAACTCAATCATTTTTTTTTTAACTCAACTTTAACTCAACCCCACTATCATTGATTATTATCAAAATAATTTAATAATATCAATCAATCATTCATACACACCACATCAACCTTAATTCACTATTCATCTACTCACATTAATTTAACGGGTAAATTGCACCAAACCCCCTGTAATATACTAAATCTGCGCGTTTTCCCCTCGTAATTTAAAAATTGCGTCAAACCCCCTTGTAATGTACTTTTGCATGCGGTTTTTCTTTATTTTTCACTCAAAAGTCGCAGAAATTACTTTTTACCCCTTCCTTGTAATGTACTTTTGCATGCGGTTTTTCTTTATTTTTCACTCAAAAGTCGCAGAAATTACTTTTTACCCCTTCCTTTTATAACCATTGTTGGGCAAAATTTTTTGCTACTCTTTGGATTCGAACCTGAGCCAAAAGTAGGCAAGACTTCCAACCACTATGCCACAATCATTATATGATACAATCTAACACCCATTTATTTAAAACTGTAGAACACAAGAAAACTTAATCAAACAAANTCCGATGCCTAAGTCAGTCTCCAATCCAAAGAGAGAGATAGTGCAGTAATGAATGAATAGAGAGAATGAGAATATGAGGTACCTTGGCCCCCTTTTATAGGGGGAGTATACTTTTTGGGCCCAAGTTGGGCTTGACCCCCATCGTTGGGCTTAGATGTCTTAGTGGGCTTATCCTCCAATATATATCTGCTTTATCCATTAAACCGGGTCCAGTATAATATCCTATATCAATATTTAATTACTATTAACTATAATATATATATATATATATTAAATACCGGTTCAACCGGTTCAACCACTGGTTGAACCAGTGAACCATTGAACCAGTAGATTTACCGGTTCGACGATCGGTTCGGTTTTCAAAACATTGGGAGGTACTGATGAATGTTGGTTTTATTAAAGAATATAAAAATTAAATAACTAAAATTTAGAGTTACTTTATTGAAGAAAAACCATATAAATACAGAAAACGACTCCAAAGCCGAAGGAACAGTTCAAAAGCTTAATCTAGTGAAGGACAGATCCAAAAAAGGATTGCCTAGAACAAACACACCCACTGCCAACATAAAAACAAAACAAAAACAAAACAAAACAAAACAAACTCCACACCTGGAGACTGAAACTCCCAAAGGGAGACTACACACTCCCTTACGGGAGAACCAAACTCCCCTACGGGAGAAAGCGCGCGCCCCATCGGGAGCAAACGCGCCAAACCAACACAAGACAAGACTAGAAACACAAAAAACAAAAAAACCACACCCACAACACAACTATACAAACCCATTCCCGCAACACCAAGGAAGTTGATCGATGTCCTCCACGAATGGCAATCATAAATCGATCGAGCGCACCCAAGGTAATCGACCAATTCCAATAGCGCCAAAGACGGGCCTTGGTAAACACCAACCTAACAACACCTAGAAAACACAACAAAAACCTAACTAAATGAAATGAAAGCCCTCCTCCCCAGCCGACGATCAACTCCACGACCACCCCGCCACCAACCGCCGGGAGAGACCGCTCACACGACATAAGTCTGGGATAAAGCCTCGAACCTGAAACTGCATAAGGCCTAACAAATCTGACACCCTAAACCCGGACACCTCGCCACAACAGTCTACCCTCAAACCATCAAGCCCGCGTCAAGCCCGATCACCTCCCCTTCACACTCCAGCCGCCAAAGGTCCGCATACTCCCTGGG